ATGTAGGGTAGCAAGTCAAAAAAATACATCGATGTTTTTTTCGATTCGATACCTCGAAATATAGCATCGATGGATATCGATGTATCGTATAAAAATATCGATAATGCATCGATTGGAAATTTCAACCGTTTATTTTAATTAAAAATATACAACAAGAAATTGAAACAATCGTAACTTCGATAAATGTATAACCCACAGTGAAATGTATTAATTGATTTAAAGAGTTTTTTCTGTTCTTTTGAGAAGTCTTCGAAAAAAATTTTCGGAAGGTACGGAAGTGCGTAATTGTTAATTGTTTATAAGCATAATGGAATATTAGCGCGATTCATAAAACGTCGCAAAGTGGCATTTTTGGCGAAATGGCAATGTTGCGAACAAAGTTGTATGAACGACCTATCGCAACTCCGGATTGCAAATGTAAAATTTTTTAAGGCTCGCTCGTTAGAGAAAAGGAAAGTTTATTATATTTCGAAGCAGCCTTAACTGATATACTTTTTCTTGAAGTATTTGAAGACAATAAAAAAACGTTTGTTTCGCCACTTTGACTTTGCAATGATGGGTTGGCTCTCCATTACATCGGTTTTTGGTTATTTTCACAAAACTATCACGAATTTCGTCATAAAACTTGGCGGGCTGTTAAGAATCGTATATATTTACATTATTTATCACTCTTTTCACTATAACAGTAATAGTATTTAACTAATTCGTTGGTAAATTCTTTGCAGATTCACTAGCAAAGTTTCATATGAAAAAGAGCACTTAACACTCATATTTTTATAAATATATGATCTTTGCAATGTTCACGTGTATTTTGTGTACATTAAATGTATTTTATTTTTTTTTTACAATATAAAACGCGTTTAATAATTTCACTATCTTCTTCGACAAAGCAAACAAGCAAACAAATCAAAATGGCGGAATGAATGAGTATAAAGTGTTTTTAAAATATGTTAAACAAAGAGCTCTGCATAAAGACATCACTGGGGCGGTAGCGATTTTTTATTAAAAATTTTTGCCTGCGGCGCTTTTTCCAAAAAAAAAACATAATATTTCGATAAATATATAATGATAAATTTTCGCCTGCGGCGCTTTCCTACAAAAATCGATAATTCGATAAATAATGCAAATTTTTTTAAATCAATACTTCG